AGCTAGATGGTACATGAACAAACGTTCCCAGCGTAGTGTATCTCGTGATACAGTTGCTACAGCGACACATTCGGTCGCGCTATGAAATCGATTTTACTATGCAGTGATAGAGAAAGTAAACAATAGGTGAATAAAATTGTAATTCAAAACTGTCAATCACCCGATCCCTACAGAGATCTGCTTCGCTGCTTTAAATAGAATGCTAATCCAAGTTCAGTTTCTCGGAATCTCAAACAAAATAGGGCTGTGTTTCACACAGCAATTCGTGATGGAGTCACTTCTAAAAGACCTCAAGAAACATGTAACATGCTCGATTTGTTTGGATACTTACACCAAACCGAAGACCATTGCTTGTCTTCATACGTTCTGCTGTAAATGCCTGGAGAGACATGCACTAACGAGCAAAAAACAAGGGTTTTATCGATGCCCCGAGTGTCAGGCACAAATTGGCATCCCTGAAGGAAAGCGTTTTGATAATCTGCCCAGCAGTTTTCTGCACAACAGTTTGTTGAGTCTTCTCGCCATTCGACGCAGCGGCGAGGGAGATGAAATCAGCTGTAGTACATGCCAGAAGAAGAGCGCTGAGATCAACCACTGCTTTGACTGCGAGAAGTTTATGTGCCCAGAATGTGTGAAAGCACACGAAGTATTTCGAGAAACTTTGTTTCAAGGACACAAAGTCACACCAGTGCGACAGTTTCAAGCCACAGACTACGAGGCGTTGTTGAAACGGCAGTCATTTTGCACCGTTAATTATCACGAGAAAGAAGTAACAAAGTTTTTCTGTGTGGGCTGTCAAAGCTGCGTGTGTCAGATTTGCATCGCCACTGATCACAAGAGCCACGATGTTGTTCCGCTTGAAAAGGCAGCGGACGATGAAAAAGCAAACATCATTGCCAGAGCAAGGCTGGTCAAAGAGATGAAAGAGGTCTGCCGAGGTGTTATTCGTGAACTTGAAAACACGGAAAATGAGTTGGAAACGAACATTACCACAGCTAAACGCCAGGTTTCCCAAGCAACCGAACAGATGATGGGAAAGCTTCGCCAACTGGAACGTGAAGCCATTACTGCCCTAGAGAACACTCGCGTGTCAAGGATTGAGAAATTACATTCTGGAAAAGCATCGGTTTTCTCTTTGGAAAAGCAACTTGACCAAGCATTTGAGTTCAGTAACAACCTGGTTGAGAGAAGCTCAAGTTCAGACATAATGCTAAACAAGAAAAATCTAGAAGAACGAATCAAAGACCTCATCGAGACCACAATGCCTGCACTTCCGGTTAGCTCGTGTGTGGAGTTTGTGTCGACATGTGAACCAGAGAGTTTGAGTCTGGGATTTACGAAGTTCAGCAAGACAGATGTGCAAGGATCGACCGTGGAAGGACTGGATCAGAATTTCCAAGCTGGTGTAGAGGCAGAGCTACTAATTTGTCTCAAATCAAGCGAAGGAGAAATCAGTAACACTCAGCACACAGATCGTGTTGAAATACACATAGACCCTGCGGATCAGGTGAGCAGTTTGGTGACGAGTGAAAAAGAAGATGGAAATTTCCAAGCAAAATTTGTAGCGAAA